TACATGTTATCCATACTGGTCTCTCTCCCCCCCCCCCCCCCCAAAATCATCTTTGTGCAAAACTCCCAAGTAGCTTAAAGGCTTCTTGGCTCCTCTGCAGTTGAGAAGGGGGGAAAGATTAATTTAAGCTTTTTAATTATTTTTGGCATAAAAAAATCAAATACTAAAGGAAAACCCTAAGGTTCATAGCCCAGGGTTTTGTTGGGAAGCACTAGCTTCAATGCAACTTTAGACACAATGGAATGCAGAATTATGAGCTATAAATCCAGTCTGCCAGATGTCTGGTATGTGTACCCTATCTTGAACTTGCTTCCCAAATTCTAATATCCTTGCAGAAATGCATAGGTTTTGGTGGCAACTTGCAGGGGCTCTCTAACTTCAAAACACTGTACTAAAGGAATAACTCTAGTTTAGATTTTGTGCAAGGTTTTAGGGCACTTGCTGAACATAATTAAAGAAAGCAAAATGTGGGAAGCTGACATGGCTGTCGTGTACAACCTTTATCTGCATCCATCAAGATGGGGTGTGGGGGACAGGAGGGAGACTTTTTTTTTTTTTTTTTAAAGGAAAGGTCTCTTGCCTTTAGTACATAGTGGTAGTTAAGCAAGGCATTCCTCTAGCACAAGACATCAGGGTGCAAGGTGTAGGAATAGTGCTACTCTCTCAGGAAAGAGATGAGAAATGGGCTGCATCACTGTCATGCATCTCTTGTATATTAGCAGACCTCATGTGCCTGCAGTAGTCTAGACAGGTGTACAGGCTGGTGTTGCAAGAATTCGCAAACGTTCATGCCACAGCTCCCTCTGGGCTCACCTCTGGAACTCAGTATTCAGGTTGGCTTTGCACAAATGAACTCTCAATTTTAACAGTCTACTTTGAAAACTCTGGGCAGCCAAGCCTGGATTAACTAGTGTGTATGTGGTGCACTTGTACAGGGCCCCCATCTCTGGCAGGGCTCAGGAGCACCAGGCCAAAAAAGGGATGGGCAGCTGGTGGCTTGAGAGTTGCATCCAGCTTGTCAGATCCCTTTATTTGGTCCGCTACCCTGTGTGCTGCAAGGGAGGTATTCTCTCCCCGCCCACCTCCAATTTCAGCATGTTGCTCCTGCATCCTCCACCTCCACTTGTGTGACTGGCTCCTGGCCCCTGGCCATAGAAGGCATGCTGCTGTGAGAGTGCTTCTATTGCTCTGGTAGCAGTCAATGCTGCCTAGCTGGCCAGCTGCCTCACTGCTGTGAGAGCTGTTTGCTCTGACGCTTTCTTGCATTTTTTCCCCTCATCTCCTGACACCCCACTCCCAACCTGCAGTTTGGGAACTATTGTGCTATTTAATAGCAGCACATGAGATGTGCTTCCCTTCATGCTTTCCATTATATAACATCCATGTTGCATGGAAATTAGTATTGTGAATCTATTCCTAATTAATGTAGAACTTTATCCTTTTTAAAGAACTCTGTACTCTTCCTGTGTCTCCTCCTCCTTCTTGCATTTTTACCACCTGGCCCCCTCTCTCCTAGGTTCTTCCATCCTTGTAATGAGAGATGGTTTGTCTTTCCTTTCCTCCTTCTAGTAGGGTTGCTAGCAAGGTGGGGAGGGGGTTTCAAATGCTTTAACAGGCTTGAGGGCTCTTGCAGTGGGCACCTGTAGAAGCAGATCAGGCTGGACTCATGCCTCTGTTCTTTGTTCTGGGAATCAGACAAAATTTGTCTTCGTCTATATGATAAATCAGAATATATTCCAGTGGTGGCTTGGCCTTGCCTCACACAAGTACCAGCAGCTTTGCATTTTAAATAAGCAGCCATAAGTCTAGAACTTGGCTAACAATTTTGATGCCCAAGATGGAGTAAAATGGAGTTTTTTCACTAGATCTGTGCTAGTCCTGCAGTGTTAACCGTAGCATTGCTCCATTTCGTTTGCCTAGTCAAGACCGCATAGATACTGATGTGTGCAATATGCACTCCTCTGACCTGAACACCAGTAGTGAGCAGCTATGGAAGATCAGTGTTCCAAATGCTGGGGAAATTTTTCTCCTCCAAAGAATCCATTGTTCAGGAGACTGGGGAAGTCACTTAACTAAAAGATGTGCAGAGGTCTGATTGGGGCCAAGGCAGTAGTAATCCCCATTGCAGTAATCTGCGTGTGCTTTCATAGAACTGTAGCTTCCTACTGCAATTAAAACTGGCTGTCTTCTTTAAAGAACACTTACCCAGCCCTGTTGGCTGGTGCATCCTCTGGGAGAGAGCCGTTCAACAGCAGTTGTCAAACAATCAACTTGAGTTCCCAAATTTAACCCTCTTAATCCTTTTTGAATCTTCAATAACTTGCCGGACGTGTTGGATTTCTTTGTAAGGAAACAAGTAGTTTCCTGCCTCTCTATGAATTACTGGCTCTACACAATAAACAAGAATCTTCTGCTCTTGGCTGTATTGTTGAGACTCACAGCTCTACTGTAGCTTTTCTCTGGTCTTCTAAGGTTAAGTGTTTTTATCCAAAGTGATAGCAGTAAGATCGCTAGCAGGTCTGGGTTTAGGAAAGCAGGTCAGTGTGGGAGCTGGAGCCAAGGTTGAGGGTTCATAAGAGAAGCCATATGGCTTTTGCCACTTCCATATGTAATGTAGGGAATGAAGAGTACTGTCCATTTCAAATTTCATAGGCCACAAGTTCTAAACATTGAAGCATCTTGCAACTTTAACTGGAAATGTAAGTCTACTATGTAAACATTACAGTAGGCAATCCTGAAACAGATTCTGTTTCCCACTTCTAGGTGGTTTATCTCTAAATGCTGCTCTCAGGATGGCACTTTAGATTTCACATGAAGAAATCCTAGCTACAGGGAATGAGCGAGATTTCAGGTGGTATCTACCAGCATGGCAGATGTCTGAACAAGGGAATTAACATGTATTCAGTGAGACTACAGTTTAGTAGCTTGAGTCGATTCATTTTCTTGCTTGGGGAGAGGGGGAACAACGAGGGGGTCAAGTTAAATCCTTAAAGGCTTTGTCTCACTGAAAAGCAAGGCTTTATTCCCTCTCCATTTCCCTATGATGTGTACTGTCTCTTACTGCTAGCCTTGCAGATTCAACCTGGCATCTGAAAGGCAAGTGTGGTTTTTTTATACTTCAGTGCATGAATAAAGATTCTGCGGGCTTTATCACCTCTGGGGTCTTCAAATCATGCTCTTGGTGACAACCATGCAACTCTGCTTCATCAGTAGGCTTGCACAGGTGCTTTCTAACAGATTAGAACTGTGCAAACAACTCTTAATGCAAAGCCACAGACAGCATGGCTTTATTTCTTCCTTTGCGAGAATACCTCATTAAACAAGACTTAAAATTCACACCTGAAGCAGATGTGAGTAAGAAGGTGCCATGTTAGTCACATTAGAGTAACTACCTTAAATGGGTACCAAACTGAAATCCATCTAAGCTGGTACCAGTGACTTTAAACACTGCGTCTGGAGTCTTAGTTCAATTGTAGCACTATGGAAGTCATTATCATGTCTCTTAACAATATTTTTCTCTCCTCTTGCTATGAAAGACCCCTACAAACAAGTAGCAATACTCTAGATAAACAGGGCTGTCAAATGCATACAAAAGAAACCTTTCTCTAACCTCAGTCCTAAATGTTAATCAACTGCTTTGTAACACTAGCTGCACTTGATTGTTTGGTAACTCTGATTTAGGTGCTTACCAAGGGCACTGTAATAATCAAAGGGCGCTCGCATGTGCTGAACTCAGATGTGTGAACATGTAGTCTCTCAAATCATTACAAGGATGAAGAGGTTTAACACTCAAATATGGCAGGCTCATTACACTGAAGCATGTATCATTTTGAACAGATTAGACTGAAGCATGTCTAGCAGTCATCTTCTACTGCTCTAGACTAAATGATATCTATGTGGAAATACCTCAGGATGATCCACACTGGCAACTTTTTTGAGAGAAGTATGCCCTGATGGACAAACTTAGAGCTGTCGGGGCCACACATGCATCTACTGCACAGAGTATATGTATAACAGTAGGGATAACCCCAAACATCCTTCAGTTCTGAAGGAGCAGCAGGCTTTTAGTCTATTTATTTTAGACAGTTCCTTTTATTCCCTCAATGTCTTTTTACCTTTAAATCTTGGTGTCTATATGTGGGAGGCCCCTGATGTGACTGAGTTTGTGGCATAGATGGGCCATGTAAGAGGATTCTATTATGTAGTCAAAATTCCCTGTTGGATTATTTTAATTAAGAGCCAGCAGCAAACCAAAGAACTAGGAAACTTATCAACCAGTTTCCAGAGCTCTTCTAACTAACCTTTTAATAAAAATGACACTTTCTTTGAGTAACTTCAACACAGACTTGTCACGCACTCTAGTCAGATCTTGAGCCTAAAACCCAGTGTTTTTCATAAACACGTTTTGCTCCAGTACACCACTTCTAAACCTGAACCCCACATATGTGTGACTATACATGTAGAATCTGTTAGCACCGCTTTACTTTCCTGTAGGCTAGAAATGGCTAGCCAAAATAGTGGCAAGTTAAGACTTGTCAAATAGCTAAAGAATGTTGTCTCAAAATGACTGCCTGGTAAACGCTACTTTTGGTGTTTCCAAAAGATCAGACATAAGCATTCACTTCAAGATTGTCAGTTAAACAGACCTCTGGAGCTACAAGTTCCTGTCCCTCAGTATAAAGCCTTCAGTGCAAGCAGGATCTTCCTTCCCCACCAGTCAGTTTTCAAAAACGTAGCTTATGTGCATTAGGAACTATGATTTTAAAATCATAACTGTAGCCAGAATGGGAGACTTAGTTTAGACCCTGTCTTTCCTATATAAACTTCTGGTGTTAACTATTTCAGGCTTTCTGTATCTGCCACTCAAGCCTTTGATACTCTAGGAAGTATTGCTTGTCTTCTAGCCTCATCAGCCTAATGCATTATGGTGAGGTTATGCAGGAGTTATATTAAGTGCCTAGTCCAGGACTGAAATTGACTTAAAGCATTTTCTGTCATAGGCATCAGGAGTACAAGTGGCTGATGAAGTATGCCGTATCTTTTATGACATGAAAGTTCGGAAGTGCTCCACGCCTGAGGAAATCAAGAAAAGGAAGAAGGCAGTTATCTTCTGTCTCAGTGAAGACAAAAAGTGCATTGTTGTGGAAGAAGGCAAAGAAATCCTGGTGGGAGATATTGGCGTAACGGTTTCTGATCCTTTCAAGCAGTTTGTGCAGATGCTCCCTGAAAAGGATTGCCGTTATGCCTTGTATGATGCAAGCTTTGAAACAAAGGAATCAAAAAAAGAAGAGTTGATGTTCGTCCTGTGGTAAGCTGGAAATGTGGCTTATGTGTGACTTGGCCTCTTGGCTTACCCAATGTACATACCTACCTGCCATGCCTGCCCTGTACACAGGGTCTACATTAATGTGTAAGACACTGAAATGTGGTGACACACTCATCTGGTCCAACATATTGCATGCAGTTTAGGTGGGTGTCAAATGTTCATAAACTTGTAGGGCCACTGCTTCAGTCACCTGAGTCTGTAGGTCTTAAGATTCTGATATCTGTTGGATATTGAACATCATTGTCTTAACTACTTTCCTCTTGGTATATCCAACTAGGGCACCAGACCAAGCGTCTCTCAAGAGTAAGATGATCTATGCAAGCTCTAAGGATGCAATCAAAAAGAAATTTCAAGGTATGTAATACAGGCAACACTTCCTGACTTGGCCCAATTAAATCTGTCTTGCACCATAGAACTGCTGACACACAGGACTTAACTGTTGCTAATTGACTAGTGTTTATTTAGAAATACCAGTCGAAGATGACTACTTAGCAAGTGAAACTTCTTGAAACATGATTAAAACACAGCATAGCAAAAAAGTGTTCGAATTGCATGTGCAGTAGAACTGCATTTTGAAGAGTGAGCCAAGACCAACATGCCATGTTAGAGCAGATCTTTCAAAATGTGGGGAGCGGGGTGGGAAATAAATACAGACACTGTTCTGCTTAGTGTTCAATGGCATAACTTGGGAATGGGGAGGGGGGGTAAAAATTTTACTACTAAATTGGATCTTGGCAGCTGTCCATGTGGCTCAGGGTATTTCAATCCTGCATTCAGTGAGATACTGAACATTCTATAGCAAACCTTATGACATTGCTCTTTAAAGGTGTAAGGTAGCCGAGTAAGCAACCAAGATGCTATCCTGGGTTACTAAGGCATAGTCAGCGACCGTAATCACTAGTGGAACAGGACTGCATACCCTGATGGTGGTGGTTGTATTATGACCCCTGAATCTTCACCTTCACGCTTCCTAAATTTTTCCACTGATTAACATGTAAACTCACTAAAATAGTTTGGAGTGAACATATATTGGCTCCTAAGCCTAAACTTGCTCCAGGCTTACACTAGTCTGCAGGGGCAGAACGGGACAAGAATGCATCAGTGCTGAACAACCAGTTGGGATTCACAGTAGCCTTCACAGTCCAAAAAACGAATTGGCATTGGTCAGGGAGTGGTCCTGAATGTAGTACATGCAGGAGTTAAAGCCGCCCTCCATAGGAAGAAGCACATATATTGCCATTTCCAGTGCATTTGTCGTCATCTCCCCAAACTAGCAAGGCCTTGCTAGTACAGAGAGGTGACTTAATCTTCTCTTCACTGAATTTGTCTATGTATCTATTTTGAATTGGCTTTTTTTAGCCATTTATTAAAAGCTTGCTTTTGAGATCCCCCAGTCCCTAATCCCTCTCTGTGAGCGTGGCTTCCCTGTTACCTAGTCCATGGCTCTTCAACTGCACACATCCAGGGTCCCGTGCCACTTCAGTGGGTTTTTTTATAATGCTGAAACTCCCAGCTTCACTCCAGCAAAATCTGCAACTGGGAAGACCAAAACATACACATCCAGTTCAAGTATCCAATGCCCTAACATGTCCAAATGCCTTGAGTACTTAGTAATGTGCAAGCACTGATACTGAAATTCAGTGGCACTTGAGCACCTAAATCCCTTGGGCTCTTAACAGTCTAGACAGGACTGTGGTGTACTTGAATTCCTGTGAATTGTTGGACTACCTGCTCAGACACTCTTAGCTACATATACAAGTTTCTAATGAGAATTACTAGCATATGGGAGAACTTGTGAATCACTGAATTTTTTTGCCTTTCTTCTAGGCATAAAGCACGAATGTCAAGCAAATGGGCCAGAGGACCTTAACCGAGCTTACATTGCCGATAAGCTAGGAGGCTCCCTAATCGTAGCTTTTGAAGGATGTCCTGTGTAGATGCCATACAGTGCCACAACTCTACAAGCATTCCATGTTTTAATATATCAATTATGTAAAGCAAACATTCTAAACCAGGGTTTCACTAATGGTAGGGAAGCTGTCTGTCTTGTAGAATAAAGTAGACTTTGGAGACGTAGTTATGTACAAATGATCCTAAATAAATCAAGTTTAAGGATTTCTCTTGCCTGAGCAGTCTTATCACAAACAAGTTTAATATTGAACTCTGGCTTCAGTACTGCATAGTGAGGGGGGGGAGGGGGAGATGATCTAAATTGTAGCAAACATCACAATCTTAAATTTTCTCTGTAGCCATCAGCCAAGTCACAGCTTTTTTTTCTTACTGGCTAGTGTCTTAGGACAAGATTAATACAACTTTATTAAATGTCATATGCTAAAAGGAATGCTGTCTGTCATCTTAACCCTTCAGTGTACTGCTCAAAACTCCTCTTATGTTTAAACACATCAAGCTCTGGTGTACCCTAGCAAATAGCTAAAATCAAAGTACAAAAAGGCACTTTCCTGGGGAAATCCTAAACCACTTCTTGTAAACTCATGGTCTTTTATTAATGTATCTGAAAGCTCCCTTGTGCATTCTGATAACTGATTTAGAACAGTTCTGTGTTCACATAGTGCAAGCTCTATAGTACTAAATCTCTCTCTGCTAAATCAAACTTGTACACCAATACTGACAAGTCAACTTAAATGTCAATCAGAAGCTCTTATTTCATAGGGTTCTGGAGGGACCATTTTAACTTACCTAAGCAATGTTCTGAACCTCTGATCTGATTCAGGCCAGTGGAATAGGGATGTGTAAACTACTCCATGTTTCTCATCTTGGAATTAAGCCATTTTCATTACACTGGTTTGAGCTAAACTGCTGTAGGGACTTGTAGAGACTTCTCAACCCTGTTTCCATAGAAATCTGTAGTCAGACTTCAAAGCATATTACTTGCAGCTGCCTTTCAATAGATGCAGAGACCATTCCACCCAAATATACCATCAAGCTTCCAAGTTTGACCTTTAACCAATCAGCTGTGTAAAGGAAGGACTTTTAACCAGTCTCTCAGCCACTGTCACTTGTGCAATTGTATAGGGCATATCTATAGCACTTCTCATGCACTAACCTGTGTTCTGGGCTGGCAGCCCTAACAATCTCTCACAGGGAATCTGTCTCCACTGGGTTAATAGCAACGCCTGGCATTAGATGTACCTTGTGAGGTGTACAGCAGGGACTGTATTCCAGGGCAGTACAAGCCAAAACCCTGCATGACCTACACGTTTACTCACTTGGTATGAGTGAGGAAGTGCACAGTGCTCCTCTCTAGCTGTACTCCTGCATGATCGTAGGGTCAACTTGGTCCTGCTGCAGCTGCACTGTTGTAGGTTTATTTTTCCCTGACTCACTGCACAGACACATCCAAACCAGGATTAGTGGGGAAGGAGCGTTGGATGGAGCACAGACCACAACACTCAGGGCTATGTGACTTTGTATCAATCATGCTTCTTGTACCTCCATTTCTGTACAAGTGAAGGGACTCTGAGTTCCAAAGTTTCAACAGTACGATCAACGTTTCGTGTCCTCAGTGATCCTTGGAGAGCAAAGTTATACTACTCTACCTAGACAAGCCCTGCTGCCACCTACAGCTACTGTAAGCATGGTGGTGTCCCTGCACTGTTAGTGATGCTCCTGGGGCAGAATGCCAGCCATGATGCAGTATGTGAGCAGGCTTGTTAATGTTCCCTTGGGCTCTCATCCCAATAGCATTGTTGCTGTGGGACTCCAGTAGCTGGAACTTCTGGCACCACTTCAGTTCCCTATGGCCTGTGGCAGGGGACCTGCTCAGGAGAGAAAGTGAGTGCTCAGTTGAAGCAGGGATTTTTCTCTTCTCTCCCCAACAGTGGCAGCTGCTGGCCTGCATATCTGCCTCCAGCAACCAAACTAAAAGCAGCTGCTTCTGTCCTAAACATCATGTGAACAGCAGGCAGATTCTCTCAACATGAATACATCTCTTCTTTCAGTACCTTCCAGAGGCAGCCCCAGTTCCTTACCATCTAGAAATAGGAAGCGTCTGCTGTGTAACTTCCACTAGTGTGTTTAAAAAGATTGCATGAGGATCTAGTCAGCAGCCCAAAGTGGTCTCCCCTCTTGGCTATCAGATACTTTGCCTGTTCCTCAACTTGAATGCCAGAAACACCACAGTAGCGTTTCTTATAAGCTGAAGCTCTCTCTGCGTTCTGGGTTCATGTGGCAGTGAATGGGGTCAGCACGGGGAGGGTTTGCCCTGTTGAACTGGGAAAATACAATGAAAGTGAAGGTTCCAATAGTGAAGCTTAGGTAGTCACAGTGCATATCTGCTAGTGACTAGACCTGATTTTCTGGTTAAATGTAATTGATTGTTGCATGCTGCATAAACACATGCCCTGCCCTGCATGTTCTCTGTTGCACTGCTGTTGAAACCTTCACACTTGCATTTTCTGATTAACTGGGCAGCTGCTCATGTGATATCCACACGCTTCTGCTTTTGTGATTGACATCTATGAAGATCCATGAGGCATCAGAAATGCTTCCTTAAGTCGAGAAAAGGAAGTAGGCTATGTTAAAAGTATCTCTCTGAGCATTTGTCCCAACTCACTCCTCCGCTAACTGGAGTGAGTAATACCTGCTAGAAGTTTCTGCTTTCTCAGCTGGCTGAAATAAATGTCTGGTTAAAGTCTGTTTTCAGATAAGTGCCGCTCCTAGTTCCTTACTCAGACTTTGCTTTAGCAAATAAAAACCTCTCGGTTAAGGTGGAGCTACAGTCCAGATGAGATTGTCAAGCACTAAATCAAAATCTCTAGGGAAAATTCCTGCTTCACTTAAGTCAAGGGGAGTTCTGCGGGCCCCAGATTTCATTCCCTATTTAACAGGATTCATTGCTAAATGGAAGAGGAAAGAAACCAATTGGAATGGCTTAGCCTGGCAGGGGGGTTGACTGTCCTGTCATCATGAGTGCCCTTGTGAGCAAAGAGATGAGACTGGGAGTCACGCTCACTGGACCTGGGAGGATAATGCCCAGTTCTCCCAGTTCCAGCTGATGGGAGTGGCTCATGGCTACCTTCCCCATCTGCCTTGATGCTGGTGGATAGGATACTGGTGTTTGGAGTAAAATGGTGCTGGCAATATTCCTTGGCAGGAGACGCTGATACTACTGCCAGAAGGTGTCCAAGGGTCATGCTATGCCAGGCTTTCTGGAGGCACTAACCACACCCCACTAGTCCTGGGGTGAGTTACCAAACAAAACTTCTCTTCAACCTTCCCTACAAGGCCTCTGCTTGTACGACCAAGTGTGGAGGGGGGGAAGCTTAGTGTCAAAGAAAGGGATTTCATCACAGGCACCTTTGCAGGGGAGCCTGACCTAGGAGGCACAGACAAAAGGAAAAGCGTCCCCTATGTCTTGCACCAATCTGTCAGTGTTCTCTACTCATAGAACATTTTCAGCTCTGCGGCATAGATTGCAGTGGGTTTCTTCACAAAGGAGGTTAGGCGTATCATGGCCCTGTCCTCTAGATGGCAACACTGAGCAGAGACATTTAAAAAGCCCAGTGGTTTGAATTTGGTCACTTCAATAGTCTAACTTTCAAAGCTGCTGAGTACCTGCAGTTCCTGTGGGCTTTGGTGGCGGTTGGGGCTGCAGCCTTCTGAAAAAACAGGAGCCTAATTTTAGCCTGCCCAGTTTGAAAAGTTTTGCCTAAACCACCTACCCACTGTCTAAGAGTGCGTGTGGGGACGGGGACAGAAGGTGCCAGGCCTCCTGACTCCTCTAGAGTTGCACTATCCTTCCTCTACAGACCATGCTACTGGTGGACTCTCTCTCTCTCTCTCTCTCTCCCTTCCCCCCCCCCATGTCCTATCACCCTCGATGCCCTTTTATGGTAAAATAAGCAGAGCTGCCATCACAGCGCTGGGCTCCTCCTGGAAGTGGGGCGCACTTGGCGTACAGGTTATAGCATTCCCTAAGCATATACAGCTGCTGGAGGAGCTGCCCTATCCTCCTGGCAGGGAGAGGCGTGAAGAAACTGGAACCTGCCTGCCACTCCTCGGCACACCGCAGAAAGAGGTGTGTTCAGACTGTGCATCCGTGCAGTGCCCGGCAGAGATGTGCATGTGGCCAGGGGAAGTGTGACCCTCCTGCAGCCCTGCTCTGGGAGCAGCAGCTGGAGTGAAGCCAAGGGCCGAGTCAGCTGGGAGGGAGGGTCTCAGGGCTAACTCTGCCCGTGGATGGGAGGGGATGGAGCCTGAGGCTTTCCTCAGGCTGGGGCTTTGCCTGAGTCACACAGCCCTCAGGCACCAGCTGATGATGCAGCCCTGTAGGGTAGCCCAGCAAAGCATACACCTGGTTGAAACCAAGGTTAAACTGCCTGGGTGAGACTCCAGGCTTAGAGCAGTTTATCCTGCTCGCTGTAGGCATTTGGACTGGTATAGCAACGGCCCTGGCTGAAATCCAGCAAACCTCCACTGTAGATAAGGGGGAAGTGACACAGGGCTAGGGTAGGCCGTTAAACAGAGAGTGTATGTGCTAAAGGGGAAAGAAGCGAAACCAGCGTGACACCCTCAGGGTGTTATACAGTAATACAACTAGAAGAGGGGACGTGCGCTGCCAGCATGTCAGGCTGAGTGACAGCACTGTGAAGCGAGACTAGGATGGTTGGGGTGGGGGGGCCAGCAAAGGGGTATTACCAAATGTAGAGGTGCTGCATGGACACCACCGAAGGAAAGTGGATGGGGTGATGCTACCCACACTACCATCTACAAGTGGGGAGCTGGCTCAGAGTGCTGACCTCTGCTGTCCAAAGGATAAAATTACAGGGGCCAGAACCCCCACCCTGCTGCTCCAGTCCAGCTGACAATACGGGACTGAGGGGTGTTTTGTTTGTTCACTTTCTGGAGTGGCTCAGCATTGCTACTCCCTGGGAAGTCTGGCCTGACCCCATTACAATACTGTAGGGCTCTTCTGCCCTCCTGGTCTAAAGTTAACATGCACTCAGCCACCCCACCCCTATGCCATAGTTAGCTCCAGCCCCACTCATCAGCATCCAATTTGTGTTCTGGTTTATAGCTGCACCCACCTGTGAGCCAGTCACGCGTCCAGGGGAGCAAAGCCAGGTGTTCAGCTAAAGGGGACTAAAATATGGGCA